GCAGCATGCCTGCAGGTTGCTGGAGGCTGTGCAGACACGGCCGGTGCACATTTATGTTCGTCTGTGTTCACTCATGTCCTTACAGTGAGGATTCGTTTGTCCCTATTCAACTGCATTCCCTCAGTCAAAAACCTGAGCGTGTGAAAATGGATATAAAGGGGGCTGTGAACACTTCGAAGACAATTTGTAGTTAATAAATACTTCCTTACAGTATTTATCCAACTCTACTCAAGTAATTCATTGGCCCTGCTATTCACAGACGGGATCTCCATGTGCAAAGATGAGGTGAATCAATTTCCATTCCTAAGCCCCAGAGCCGCTGACATGGAAAATCAGCGCCGCTTCGCGCCTTGGCATGGGGCTCCAGAAGGTGCGGGTGGGAACGCAGCCCGGGGTGTCTCCGCTCGCCGAGCACCGAGCTGTTTGCCCTGCTGGCCCCATCGTTCTTCTAGGGTTTGCAGCGTCCGGGTGATTTCCATCTTCTCCTGCCCCCCGAGCCAATGGTGCTGCCCCTCTGGCTTTGGTGCTTTGTGCTGAGTTGCGAAACTCCACATGTGCAGTTCGTGTGCAGGAGAAATGCATCAAAATTCCCTTCTTGCAAATGTTGTGGCAGTGCTGAGCAGCGTGTGTGGTCAGAGAGTAGTTTGGAGTCTTGCAAGGAAGTAGGGGGGTGCTTGATGTCATTGAGCTTTGGTTTTCTTTTCTTTTTTTTTTTTTTTTATTTGTGTTTGGACTCTTTTTCCTCTTTATATGGCTCAGGATCTTCTTTTAACTTGGTGTGCCAAGCTTGTGTGGGATGAGCACTGGCACAGAGTGAATCCTTTTTGTACGTTTGTAAGAGAAATCGGGGAAGTCTGTATGAAAAGCCCACGTGTTTATCTGGCTGGTCCCATGCACCATCCAGCCTTGGCACACAAACACCCCAAACAGCCCCACGTTGTGCCGCTGTCCCTACACCTCCCAGCCTCCGTGTCCTCCGTGCTCTTCATGTGCACCTCGAGCACAAGCTGTGGTGGCATGCCCTTGGTCACCCCGTTCAGCACCACAAATAGCCATGTTTTCCTTGTTTTGCAGACTTCCCGGTCTGGTTTTGGTTTGCTTAGACCAAATCTATCCTACCTAATGTCTGAAATACCCAGAGGGTCACGGTCCTAAGGCAGTAAGCTCTTGTGTTAGCTATGGGAAAAGCTTAGTTAGCAGGTGAGGGATGGTGCGCAGTCCGTGGTGTTTTGTGCCATCTGGATGATTAGGGTGGGATGGATCACACCAGTTGACGTATTTCCTTGTACCTCACTGGGAATAAATTTTCTTTCTTAGGCTTGTATTTACTGTTGAGTGTTATTTGACAGGGCAAATATTTACCTGCAATAATGCTGCAAATCTCTGTGCTTTCCACTGCGAATAATATTTCTCTGAATCAATGCTTGGCTGCGACTTCTGGATCCTCGTGGATAATCACACAGAACATGACTCAGTGGAGAATTGGGGTCACTGGATGTTTGCCATGCTTCTGCGGAGAGCGGTTCCCAGGTTCTTGGTCAAGTCATGCCCTCCAAGATTAATAGCAACACGCCACGGAGAAGTGCTGCTGGCCAGCTGTAGAGGGTTTTGTAAAGGTGGACAGCACCTCCCTTTTCTTCCAAGAGGGGAGAGACAGGAGAAAGTTAAAGGCTTAATTTGTGGATGCTCAATGCTTGTAGCTCCCTCCTGAGCTACCTGCACAGTGGGTTCTTGTGCAGTTTCCAGCCTGCTCAGCCCAGGGTGAGAGCTACTCGCTTCTCCCCTTGACTCACAGTAATTTTCAGGTACAGCTTAAAGGCGTGTGGAGATGATGTCCCCAAACTTGACACACTGATAATTCAGGTGCTTATCAGGTACATGGAAGAAGATCCCGTTGTAGTGTTAAAATTCAGGCTTCCCATGCATGGGACACTGGAGGCAAGAGAGGAACCAGCTCATTCCCCTCTAAAGCTCTCAGTTCTCCCTGTGCTGTGTTCAGCTCCATTCCCATACAGGGCACCCCTTAACTGCACCCGTAAACGTGCAGTGCAGTCTTGTCCTGGACATTGCATGGGTATCAGCTCAGTAGGAACCAGGGCCTTCCTCACCCATTGCTGTCCCCATGGTGAAAGGGCAGAGGGAGGGAACCATGGCACAGAAAGGTACAATAAAAGGGTCGTGAGAAGCTGCACGGCATAAGGGACACGTCTCTCCATGTCCCCACACCCCTCCATCCTCTGCCTGCAAATCTGTTGGTGGATGGAGGTGGTCTTTGTCACTGGGACCTCTCTCCAAGCTCAGATTTCAGGAACAGTTTTTAAACACGGCTCTGATGCTGTGGGAGATGGACTGTACCTGCTGCAACGCCGTCCTGCAGCTCACTGTGGGGTGAGCCAGTCCATGCCCTGCAGCACAGCGCCCATAGCCTGGGCACAGAGACATGTGGGGACCTGCCGGCGAGGAGGGAGTCAGGAAAGTGGCATCTCAGAGATGGGGAGCATCTCTGAGAGATGCTTGGTCAGATGCTTGGTCAGAGATGGGTGGCATCTCTGAGAGAGGAGGCTTGGCTTGGTCCTGCTTCTCCATCCTTCCCTTTGTGGGGTCCGACCTTCAAAGCAGCGTCCGGCCGCCCTGCAGCGCGAGCCAAGGCTTGGCAAGTAGAGGCTTGTTGTTTCAGCTGATTTCAGTGTTTTAATTTGAAGGGGAATAATGTGTAATCACAACAACTGTCATCTGCTTGTCAGTGGAAAAGCCTGGATCTCCCACGTCTGCTGTGTGCACCGCCACGGGCAGCCTTTTAGCAGGGCGAGCTTCCCCGCGCTTGCCTTTGGAGTCCTGGTGGGATGAATGGGCTCCGACCAGCTCACTAATCTAATTTGTAATGTATCCTTATAACGTATAATTGGCTGTTTAATTTAATTCAAATTAACATAAGAATAGAAAACAGAATCGGCAGCAGAGCCCGCGTGGTGGTGGGAAGGGGCGTTGGGTGTCGCTGGCAGGAGACTCGAGACGACGGCGTCTGTGCGCGCGCCACGAGACCACCCGTGGTGGGCAGGGACGCATCCCCTCCGCCGTGCCCGTAGTCGCCAGGTGCCACGGTAAACCACCCCCCTGTCCCACCCTCCTGAGTGTCTGCCTCTTCTCCCTGCCCTATCTTCCTAGCGATCTCTTTAAAACACACATAGCGTAAAGGCTGTTTTGGAAAATCGCTCTTCGTGGTGCGGTGTGAAAGCTGGCAGGCGCCGAGGCTGATTATGTTGATTGGATATTGTCTAATCTGATTTTGATTGTGTACAGCTTTGATTGTAATTTTGATATGTCTGCACAATACTGTAGCTCTTTGGAAAGCTTTGTGAGTTAAACAGAGCTTTTTTTTTTTTTTTTCTTTTTTTTTTTTTTTTTTCCCCAGGCTGAGAAGAGCAGGGGCAGGAACGTGCAGGGGGGAGCGGGGCTTTAGCGCTCCTCACAAAACCGCCTCAAAGCCCTTTCGTGAGCTGCTCTGCAGCAACACGAACAACTTGTAGTTTTGAAGAGAGCTTTAGGAAACTTTGAGTGGGTTTTACATAATTTAGTTAAGTACAGCAAAGCCACTTGCTTATATACCTGATACCAAAATAAACCAGTTGGAGGAACAAGTTTGCTGTGCAATGATTTATTTAAATCCTTTCCATAAAGCACTGAGTGAAATCCTCTTAAATAACTGGGGAAGAATTGATATACCTTGAAGAGTGTAGCCCAAGCGAAAACTTTACTAGACGTATTAAATGGGATATGTCTGTCTGCTTTTGTGTGCAGCCTCTCATCCCCCTTACCTTTCCAGCACAATGCCACTGCTAGACAGAAGCCAGCTGGAAAAACAGCTGGGCTTGAATTTCCCCTGAACAATAACTGTTGGTACAGAGCTGGCTCAGCCCTGGCTCCGTCTTATATTTCTGGCGTACTCATATTTCCCCAAAGCTAGGAGGAATTTCACGTGAACGTGAGCAGTCAGCTGGTATGTGCAGCATATGCGCTCTTCTCTGTTTTTATGATGGGACAAAGGGAGACAAGAGGTGTGTTTCACCTTAGCTGCCTCTCCTACTGACTTTTGAGTTCTAGTTAAGTATGGGCTTTATTTTATTTTATCAAGGGTTTTCTCCCTGTAGCCTGGGGTGATGAAGAGCACGAACCTGAGTGTGAGCTCTGGGGCAATGGATTAATAAAGCCAGCAATGTTCAACTGGTTTTGCACGCGTCTGGGGTTTTGCTCTTAAATCAAGTATTAAGTCAAAATCCAACCATGAAACTAGGTGATCTGAGAAATTTAGCTTAAAATCCATGTGTGTAATACTATGGCTAATCAGAATTTCATATGCCATAATAATACGTGAAACAGTAGATGTTTAGAATAAGCCTCCTCTGCCAGGCACTCATTATATTCTGCTTTGATAATTAATAATTTTGGATAGACTCACTCTTAGGTTATGAAGCAAATATGTTTTTGTCTGATGTGAAAACTCTTGCACAGGCGCCATAATATCTTCTTTTCATTGGAATGCTTAAATGTATACAGACCACCAGAAAGCATGGGAAGCAAAAGGACCAACACCTCTGCACCTTCATGGTGAGCTTGAGGAGCACCGGTAGGGAGCAGAGGGCGTGCTTATCTAAACCAGGTCCGGATCAGGCTGTAAGGAAGGACAAACCTCCATGCAGGGCACCACCAGGCAATCTTTCTTTAGAGGAGTTGAGAAGTTGTGCTAATGGCTTGCAGCAGGGGTGAGAATGTTGCAGAATAATCGGAGGCTTGCAAGAACCAGTGGTGTCCCGCAGTGCTCACCACCTGGCTCCTACGTAGTTATGACCTGCTGGTGTCCAGGGCTGGAGCTGTCTCTTTTATTACACCCAAAATGTTTTCACTGGAATGTGCTTTCGTGTTTCTTGCACAAATAATGGTTTTTATTTGCTGGAGCAACAAGGCAGTGACACGTTGCAAAATGTCTTTTTTTTGTGTTTTAGACATACAATGGTCAGAACGAGAATAACGAGGACTATGAAATCCCACCCATAACGCCTCCCAATCTCCCCGACCCTTCGCTCCTGCACTTGGTGGACCACGAAACTGGATATCACTCCCTGTGCCACAGCCTGCCTCCGAACAGCCTGATACCCGCCTACCCCTACCAGAACATGGACCTGCCGGCCATCATGGTCTCCAACATGTTGAGTCAGGACGGGCATCTTCTCTCCAGCCAGCTGCCCACGGTCAGTGACTTTCTCCTCTTCCTACCTTTTCTTAAAGCCACTCTGTGCATCGTGCTGTGAGCTGATTGAATGGAGAAGGGCATTAATGAGGGGGTGTTTGCACCAGGGGCTGGGAAGAGCCGGTGATGCAGCCTTGGCTTGCTGCACTACCACCCACTGCTGTTGATGACCGTGTTCATGGTGCCAATTTTGTTTCCAACTTGATGTTTTCCCAAGCCCTGTTAATTGCCCAAGAGGAGGCAGGAGGGTTGTTTTCCTCTGGGTTCGTAGCATCCTCACTGAACCGAGCCCCATGTGGCCAGCAGGAGCCCCCTGCTTGTCACCCCTGCCCCACAAAGGGAGAGCTTCCCTATTGATTTCAAGGAGACCAAGATCCCTCCTTGCACTTGCAAGCTCAAGTTGCCTTTTGGCTCACACCATGGTAAGGTGATACCTTGCAAAGTTTCAAATGATGCTTCCATAGGAATAAATAAAAAGGGAATAGTGAAGTAAAGGCAGCTCTGAGAAGAAACTTTGGGGCTAATTAGACCGTAGGACTTTTCTGTAGAGGCAATGCTGAGGAAAGGTTGTGACTTGGTTTTGACACTGGTATTGAATTAATGCTGGAGCTGTTTAATAATATTTTCCTCTTTAGCACATTTAGCCCTATGGTTATTTTTCTACGTTGTTTCTCTCTAAGATCATTGATTTTCATGGGTGCTGTTGAAAGGCATCGATATCAAACAGAGTTAATTTTACTTATTAGCATTGCCTGCAAGCCTGCCACTGCGCTAGCTAGAGAACATTTGGTGTCGATTGCTTGAATAGATAACGGTCTGAAAGGTAGTGATATTTAAATATTTAAGTGGGATATTATCTCTTAGTCTAGGAAAATCCCAAGGCTTTCTAAAGTCTTGGTGCGTCTCCAAGTTGAGTGGTTAGTGTGTTTAAGAAAAATATCATCTTCTGCCCATCAATATTGAACACAGGCATATATCTATGAAATTAAATATTACTTAGGTCTCTGTGTTAGCTTTTAGGTTCTTAGGTGATTAAAACATTCATTTCTGAGACAAAAAGAGTCAATTTCAGATGAAATATTTTTCCCTAGTTTAATTTAAAGCACAGCCCCTTTTCCTGACCCCTATTTTCATAACACGATAATTTTATCCTGTGTTGATCATCTCATTTTTGAGAGGTGATATTGCACTTATAAATCACTTTCTAAAATACCTAAAGAAACAAGAACAGTGGAATTTATTAAGCAGCTTCTGTACGTCTGAAATAATTTATTTTGGAGTAGTCCTTGGGAAATGTTCTCTTTCTTATTTTATGGTACTGTTTTACAAATGCAGCATTGTGACAATAAATCAGGACTGAACCAGAGAAGATAAGAAGGGGACTTAGTGGGCTGTAAACATAGAATAGAGAGATTAAGATTTGTTTGCCCCTTACCACTAAAATAAAAAATCCAGTGAACCCTGAATTTTCCAGCCAATAGCAAATTGAAAGTGTTTAGTTTTGAGTGGAAACCTCTGGAGCCGTAATACATCTTCAAAGGTCCCAGCAGCAAAGGAAGTAGATCAGGGAGTGAGCTGTGTTGCAGTTTTAGGTCAAAATTAAATCCTGCCTTACCTTCCCACCAAAGCCTTTTTCCCATGCCATCAGATTTGAACTGCAGAAACAGCATCTAGCCCTTCTCTTCATTACCAGCTCTGGTTTTGGCTGCCCTATCACTCGAACACAGCCCCAAAATGTTTGATCCATCTCACAGCACACGTGTAGTTTCGTGATTCCTACTGGCATTAATAGGGGCATGCACGTGAAGAAAAACTAAAATCCAGGAGACAGAACAGGTTTTTAAACGCATATCATAAATACCTCCTGCCCGCGTGCCCACTGAGCATGAGGCCTCTTGGCGATGGCATCATGAAGATGCTTCAAGCATCACTGCTTGGCATCGCAGGATGGGACCTGCTCCAAACCTGCCCAGAAGTTCACCACGTTCAGGCTGCGAACATCCAGATCAAAAAAGGGGCTTGTTTGTTCGCACTTCCAAAAAGAAGAGGGTGTTTTGTGACATGGGCAGGGATAGGAAGCCCAGCTGGGAGTACTGCAGGGGAGGCACGTGGAGGTTTTGTCTTTGGTCCAGGACAGATGCTGCGTTGTAGTTTGTACTGATTTTTGTACACATGGCTCTTGGGCCTGGAGCACAAGTCCTGTGAGGAGCAGCTGAAGGAACTGGGGGTGTTCAGCCAGGAGAAGAGGAGGCTCAGGGCAGACCTCATTGCTCTCTGCAACTGCCTGAAAGGAAGCTGTGGGGAGCTGGGGGTCGGCCTCTTCTTGCAGGTAACCGGCGATAGGACCAGAGGGAATGGCCTCAAGTCACACCAGGGGAGGTTCAGGCTGGAAATGAGGAGACATTTCTGCTCAGAAAGAGCAGTCAGGCACTGGGACGGGTTGCCCAGGGAGGTGGTGGAGTCACCGTCCCTGGGGGTGTTCAAGGGAAGGCTGGACGTGGTGCTTGGGGACATGGCTCAGTGCGTGATGGTGGTGGAAGGGGGATGGTTGGACCAGATGATGTTGGAGATCTTTTCCAACCTTAGTGATTCTGTGATTCTATGATTCTTCCTTGGATGTCCTGTCTTTTGGTTGGAATACAATAACAATGAGCAATTCAAGGTAAAATGTTTAGAGATGGTAAGACTTCTCTTCTAAAATAGTAGCTAGAGCTTTGGGATTTTTTAAGACATCCTCATGAAAAATCTCAGGCTGCTGAAAAAACATGAGCAAGGACTCACTGAGTGCAGTGGTGTTGGAGCACGCTTTGCTCTGCTCTGCCCCATGGACGAGCTCGACCTTTCCATCATGTGGTCCTTGACCACTGTTTCTGTCACTTTATTTCCTTATTATTATTTTCCCTCAGTTTTTACAAGTTCAGGAACTTCTCAGACACTGAAGATGGGATGAAGGGACGTGGAGGGGAGAAGGGCTGGGTGAACAAGAGATGGCCAAAGATCTGATGTTAAGACCAATGGTGCAGGGAGGAGGCAGGGCTGATCATGTCACTGGGGATAGCCAGCGAGGCGGGCTGCCTGCTGGGCGGAGGAACTGTTGTGAATAAATGAGATTTCAGAAGGTATTTTGCAGAACAGATTTGACAGAAGCAAAGGGCGATCAAGGTCAGAGCCCAGGAATCTCCAGCACAGCGCAAACATTTCCATAAATATTAGATAGCGGTGTCTCTGCTCATCAGGTGGGACAGTGCCCAGTCATGGGCGCTGTGTCCTTCTCTGCCGTGGTTGGGTGAAATACGGCTCAGCCATGTGGGTTTGCATGGGGGCAGCATCATTTTGGACATCCCAGTTGGCAGCTGTTAGGAGCAAACATGGGCTTTGTCATGTGTATGAGAATTTGATTGCAGAGCCTGGCAGCTCTCCACGGATCTCCACTTCCCTGGTGCTTCTCACGCTGAGATCTCCTTGGCTTTGTTTGAGAAGCACTGGTAGCTGTGCATGAGCCACCCAAAATCATCCTCCAGGGCTCTTCAGCTCTGCCTTAGGAGGCCCGCAGCCTGTGCAGGGCATCGCTGAGCTGGGGACAGGCAAACTGTACCCAAAAGTGCCACCGTACTGGGCGCTCACTGCCCCCTTACTGGGAAGAGCGGAGGAGGTGGAGGGGTTGGAAAGCAAAACCCTCCTTTGGGCTCAGTGGAATGACTTTTTTTGCTATCTGCAAGCTGGTGCATCAGCTCGAGAAGGAAAGAAAAAAAAAAAAAAACGACTCCAGAAACATCCTGGAAGTTTTTTCATTTCAGTTTGAGCAAAACCAGATCATGTGAAAAATATTCAAAATCCCCAGTGGTGAAAAGCATGTTCATGGTGCAAAAAACGTCAAATTTCTGGTTAGCAGTGGAACCTGTTTATGTATGCACTGGACTACTGTCTTTAATTATTGTTTCCCATGGGTTCCCTCCAGAGAAGAAAGGGTAAAGGGGGAAGAAGCATAGCAGCAAGGACAACTGCAGCCCTGAAATTTCTGAAAAGTCAGTTGCTTGGCTTTGCAAGCCGAATATCTGTTTTCTAGCACTACAGGGCTTTTCTGTCGAACAGAAAAAAGAAAAAAAAAAGTGAACAAGAAAAATCTCAGCAGTAACACACCTGCCTGCCTCCCACATGAGAAAAGGAAATGAAAAGCAGCACCTCCTCGGAGCTGCGGCGTGCGTGCCCGGACAGTGGGGATAGCACAGGTCCCCAGGAACTAGCATCCTCTGGGGTCACCAGCACTTCTTTCCAACCCGATCTGGGGCAGGTGAGGGCAGTGGGAGTCCCAGCACTGTGCTCCGTGTGCTGCAGGATCCGACCCTCAGCTGTGGGATCCCGGCCGAGCCGCTCAGTGCTGGATGTGGCAGCATGGAGCGCAGCTCCACTTGTAGGGTGCACAGCTGTAGAGGCACTACAACTGTTCTGGTGGGCAGTACAGCTTACATGCTGTGGCTAAATACTTCCAATACGTAAATATTTCAATAATCTTAAATCACTGCCTGGGGAAGTAAGTCCCGAGGAATGAGCCATGTTTTGGTGCAGCGTGCATGCAGCAGCGCCAGGCGATGCGCGCCGGCCGGCAGCAAAGAGTTCCCGGCGTCCCCCGAGCTCCAGCCCCGGCTAACTTCGCACTGGCAGTTTTGTGTTGTGTGCTTTAGGTTTTGACTAATTTGGCTTTCTGCTTATTAATGGCTCGCGGTTTAAAAACTAAACTCCCAAACACGAGCCCTTGGTGGAAAATAGTAACGATGCAACCGTACGTGAAGGGTTCTTTGTATTAAGGAGAGCCCTGTTTGCAATTCCCTGCTAGTGTTTTTCTCAGAGGCAATAAATGAAAGAAATATGTCTTTTTAAATTTTATAAAACTCAGAAAAATGGTTTTAAACAGCTTTTCTTCACCTCCTATAATTATTTATTTTCAAACAGTCCTTCAGGGTAATGTTCCGTTTTCTTATTTCACACTCCTTTTTCTCATAA